ATGGTCGATATTTCCTACCGCACGTATTCCAATTCTTAACCCACGAGACAGGTTTTTGAGGGTATATTCTGTATTAAAATTCTATGTTGTTTTTTTTTTAATAATCGGCACTTAACCTGACGCAGTATATCAGGCTTTTATGGACATCGATTGTACGCGTAGGTTCACGACACTGCTCTAATAGATATTTATTAACACCAGGGTTAAATAAATGACCTAACACTGGTGGCTCAATGGGTGAAGGAGTAGCGTGTAAAATTCAATGTCCAAAACCAGAATAGTGACGCTCTACAATCACCGAACACACCCTAAACATTCACCTATCGTGATGGATGGGAGTTCTCACAAGGCCGTTCCTTGTCTTGAGCGTCTATTGGGACTCGAGCTCACACCAGACCTCTAGTGAAACTTCTATATACGATCTATTGGTAAAGTGTTGGAAAAACAGTTAGTTTCCTCTGCTGTTCCAGTAAGCTCCTTACTAAACTTACACTGTTCTATCTATAAGAAAAAAGAAATCAGACTAAAATAGTATATTGCTGTCGTACTGAACTATTTCTTTTTCAATTTCCAGTCTTGATAGCGTTCAAAAGAAATCTACACAGTCTCGTGAATGATGAATTTTATATATATATATATATATATATATATATATATATATATATATATATATATATATATATTATTTAACATTACGCCCCGAGCAAGGTGAACCCACTAGGATGCAGGGGGTTGCAGAAGATTTAGAGCAAGAGCAGATAGGAGTGATAGAAGAAAGGATAAGGAGAAAGATAGTGGGTACATCAAGATAACTGGAGATGTCGATTGATATTACATATGAATAGTTGAGTATTATAGCTCTCAGGGAAACAGTAATTGGGAAGGGTGTTCCACAGGCGAGAGATGCAGAGTATGAAGACACTGTAGTAGAAGAGACAGCTACATATATATATATATATATATATATATATATATATATATATATATATATATATATATATATATATATATATATGTATGAAAATAAGCGTGTTGAATATCATAGATATTGCGTGTGTATATATAATAGTGGAGACTTAGATCAACAACGAGTGTCGACAATCTTTAATCCTTGTACGCAAACTTCATAAGATTGTGTTCAAGCATGGAAGATACTGTCTCCATCGTGTGTCGAACAATTTCCACTTTTAAACACACAAACATACACGCATATATATATATATATATATATATATATATATATATATATATATATATATATATATATATACGTTTTTATTATAGGATATTACAGGCGAACATATTTTTCATGGGAAAATATATTGTATGTAAGTAAATAAACAGTGTAACTCACATTTATTACCGCCTGAAGAGATATGCGATGCTATGCATCGAAACATCAAGTAATTTACGTAGTGCTTTTATATATGTTCGAATGTAATATCCGATATTAACGAATTATCGCTCTACTATTGTATTGAGCCCTATTTTAAAATTAATATTGTGGTCATTTGAATTTATATTTTCTTCGTTCTCATTTCATTTATATATATATATATATATATATATATATATATATATATATATATATATATTCCAATTGGAAAAACGTTCATAAAAGATATTTGTTTCAAAATATATCTGATAATGCACATCGCTATTTAATGGTTTATCTGATCCGAAGGGAAAACCATGACATGCATTTATGTGTATTTGTGTATTTTTAAATAATGAAATCTTATTCTTTTTTCCTAACCTCGAGTTACTCGTGACTAGAAAAGAAAGGAAAAACGAAAACGAGTGACTTCAAAATGCCGTTAACATTCATTTTCTTTATTTCGAGTCGAACGATATAATCATTCAGAATCTGATGATATTTTAACGGCCAGATACAGAATCGGATATATTTCGATACACGTATACTTTCGTAAATCTTTTACGATTGTCAAAAATATAAAACTTTTTTCCGGATCATATATACTAATTTTAAAAGATCTATCTATCTATCTATCTATCTATCTATCTATCTATCTAGTCACAAACACACCCACATATATATATATATATACACACACACACACACACACACATATATATATATATATATATACACACACATATATATATATATACACACAGTGAGCCACCTAGTGAGCCAGACAAACCTACCTAGGTTTCACCTAAACGGATCGTCAGGGAAAGTTTGGCTAACGAGGCAAAGAGAAACACATATTTATAGGTGAACTTTCCTGACGATCCGTTTAGGTGAAACCTAGGTAGGTTTCTGGATCACTAGATCATCTATATATATATATATATATATATATATATATATATATATATATATATTTATTTATATATATATATATATATATATATATATATACATAGATATATATATATATATATATATGTATGTATGTATAGGGTGAGTTTGCCTGTATTTATGGAAGAGTGTAGAATGAGAAAATGGAAAATAATTTTATCATACCATATGGGAATGAAAAAGGATATGAGAGTATGAAAAGGAGCGGTAAGAAAGGAAATACAAAGAGAGGAAGAGGGAGATAATAAAAAATAAATAGAGAATGAATAAAAAAAAAATGAACAACCAAAATAAATACAGGTGAGTGAATCAGAGTCATTCACAAAGATGGAGCATTTGCTTTGTGTCCATTTGGCGCGCATTTGTTAAATTTTAACATTGGGCGTGAAAGGCAATCTTCTACAATCTGCTTTTAAATCTGAGAGTCTCTTCTCCATAATCGACGCCGACCCTTTTGATTCTGTTCATTTCAATGAAACGATGCCGGCAGCCAGAAGAAATAAAGAAGAGAAACAGTGTCGGATGAAGACGCGAAAAGCTGCCGGACGCCATTTAATTTGCCATAAATGGCCGGAGTGTAGAAGGAAAAAAGACAAAAGAATTGAAAGAAAATGAGAACATAATTGTATCTGTGTTCTTCCCTGAACCCGTTCATATTTGAATGGTCATTCTGCATCGGTCATTCTTGATTAGTCGGCTTGAATTGATCAATCGCGTAATTTCTTCTGCATATTTTTGGTAGAGTATGGCGTGGTGGTTGGTAGAACGAGGTGATTATGAAATTCGAATTTGAGTTGACGCCTGCAGAGTGTCTGAGAGGGGTCACGCTAAATTAGTGTTTAGCCGAGTGTTTTCGCTTTTCGATTTGAAATATGCACCCCTTCGATACCTAAGAAGGTCTAGCTTTATAGTCGAGGCTGAATAAGCTGCTTGACGTCAGCCGATTTTCTAGGAAAAAAAAAAACAAACTTCTTCTTTACATAGTTATTCATCTCTGTTATTCCTTTATTTCAGATATTCTATCCCGTCTACGTATTAAACTGTTACTTTAACTTTTAATCCTTTTTATGTGCCATTTTCTTTCAAGACCTAGTTGATCATGGCTCTCGACCTCGCTCTATCCCTTGCAGCTCTCAGCAATTTCCTTTTCTCTGCTTCCTCCCCCAAACTACATTCTGACATCCACCTGCTCAAGCTCGTCAGGTATGCCACGCGCTGTTTTCCTTTGTCTTTCTTTCCCTCTATTTGAGCCGTGAGTATCAGATTCTCCAGATCTTTCTTCCTCATTACGTGTCCCAGAAACTTCAGCTGCCTCCATCTGGTGTTAACTATAAGCCTTCTTGTTTGTAACTTAACTGAGACCTCATCAATAGAAGCACATCTCCGTCGCCTCGAGTGTCTTTCTCATCCCTGAGGAAATCATCCAACATTCATTGCCGTAAAGAAGGCACAAAATCTCCATCGTCAGTACATTATTAAGCAAACCATTTTCTTCTTCCTTTGTATATCCGTCAACTTTCAGGACGTGGGCGATCATTGCTATCCAAAGACGCCCTACTCTTTGCATCTCTAAGAAGGTGTGCTTACTTAATATACGTCTCAGTCTCTCTTCTGCCACCCGCTTATGCGAAATCATTACTTATATTCCCCTTGTCCAATTTAGCCTTCAATATGACCTGCGGCTGTCAAATTCTCCAGGGTCTTTCTGATTCTCAATATAAGTAACGCTTCCCCCCCCCCCAGTACGGTTCTTTTCGATTTCTCTTGAATTCAGTATGCCCTGTGTGGTTTAATTTCGCCAAGCAATTTTTCCACTTTATGAGACCTAGAATTTTATAATCGGTGTTTTTGAAGTATAAGTGACCTTTTGGGTCCATTTTTCTTTAGCCTTTTCTTCTGCTCCACTTGCCTTCAGAAAGTAAGGCTTATGTCAAATTACCCAAGCTTTCTGTCCTCATCATGTGTGCCGTAAATTTCTACTGTGTGTTTCTGATTCTAAATATAAGTGATCATCTGGACCAATTTTCATATAGCGTTTTTTCTGCTTTGTTTGCTTTCGGGATGTAATGTTAATGTGAAATTTTCCAAGTCCTCTTTCCACATTATTTGTCCAAAAAAATTCTATTGGGTCCTTCTAATTAGAAGAGCTTACGGCGATATAACGTTGAAACCCCGATTCTCGAAGTGACACAAAGATTAAGGAACGTCGAACCTGTCCATTACTTAGATGTATGGCCGATTGGAAATACGAGGTACTGTAAGTTGGGATCTATATATCTCTCTGTAAAAGGTAGATAAGCGGTAAACAAAATCAATCAATCAATGAATCTGATTTTGAGTACAAGTATACCTTTTGTTCCAATTTCCATGTGGCGTTTGTGTCGTCACTAAGCTCTTAATTCTTAAAATGCTTTTCAAATGTCAAGTCATTGTAGGCACGTGACGCAAAATCCTAATTCATAGTCATAGCGTAAATCTATGTTAATTTCAAACAATTAAACCAAACGTTATACTGTCTATTTTCTCGACTTTCTACCTAATATCTTTAAATACAGCCAACGATGGTCGAAATTACTCGGAAAATTACACACAATTTTGGCAAGATCTTTTACATGTTTGCAACTGATATTAAACAACATTTGACACCAGGGAAAACCAATTCAAAGTCTATATCATGTTTTGTTTAATGAAATATGTACAAATAGATGTAAATTTCCTATCGTATAAATAGTAATGTAGATACAGGATTCGTTACTTTCAGTTTCGCTTTCAGACATCCGCTTGGTGTTTTGAAAGATAAATGTAAATATTTTATAATTTTTCTTTAATTTTTAAGTCTAATCAAGTCGGCTTCTACGTAAATATTAATTCCTACGCTTAGATTAAAAAAATACACAACAGGAAACATACTTCAGAATATTTTAATGTCTTTTTTTTATTTGTGTTCACTTAAGAGCCTTTGAGCTTCTTCCAAATGATTCTGATAGTTTCGGGACATGTAATAATTAGAGAAGTACGAGTGGGTTCCGATACTACAATATTAGTTTGGGTGTAGATGTTGCCATTATGGCCATAGAATGGGACTTTGGTTGTGTATGCATTTAATAGTTTTTGAGGAGACATGGCTTGATGGATGGCTGTGAGATAGAATTTTTAGCGTCAACGGAAATGGGGTTATATCAACGTTTTGATCGACGGGGACATTTGTGAATACATTTTCGACGTCAGATAACGCCCTGATACCTTGGGTTGGTTTTAGAATTTGGAGAGATTCCTGGGTTGATCTGATGCCGTAATTGGTGGGGAAGAATGAGGTTATGATGCCTTAAGGAATTTTGATAGCTCATAGATAAGGGTTGGGATCTGGGTAATGATTGGTTGCAGCGGGTATCCGAGTTTGTATGTTTTAATATCTCCATATAAGTATCCATGTTGGTAGTCTCCGATAATTTTTTCGACTTTCAGGGAATCGACTTCAGTGTTATTCGATTTTATGTATACATTCTAGTAGAAAATACAAACGTAATAACCTCATTCACATGTTAAAGCAGACTAAAAATAATGGAATCCGTAATAATAACAAAGAAAAAACTAACACTCAATAACATTAACTAGAACACGGCCACAGTATGCTGAGTTCGGGAAATAAGACATTCCTATAACTCTAAAACATAAACACAACCCAGACACCCAACTAACAAGGAAATAAATAAATAAATAAATCACAACAGCTAAAAATATAGCCAAAATGGCTCGGAATTATATAACATTTGAGCAGTTTCTATACATTGCGTGTCCCAAAAAAACACTTGTGCGAATACATGAAAAATTTAATGGCAGTACCCTCTGTAATCTTACTTATTATAAAACACAAATTGTGTGTGTGTGTGTGTGTGTGTGTGTGTGTGTGTGTGTACGTTTATATATTGGATCGGATTTCCTACATTTTTCAACCGATTTCAACAAAACTTCACAGGACTACATAAAATTACCTTGCGGTGGTTCTAACAGCGCCAAATATTGGAAAAACACAATTGTTTTTCCACGAAATCAATCTGAAAGCACGGTTAAGTGTATCGCACCCGGCCGGAAGTTACTGCCGGCTACTCAAACGTCCGAATGTCGTTAACTTCCGGTGACTCAGCATTTTTTTTTTTAGAGAACGATACACAAAAAGTAAACAAATGAAATCTAAACATATACAAGTCCTCCTAACTAAAAATAATAACCGGAAACTACTTTAAATACACATGGTGTCCAATTTTTTTACTGTCTTCAAGAAGTGAAAATCATTTTGGCAGATAGTGTTTCTTATTGTCTTGCACACTTTTTTCTTTATTTTTAAATACAGAATGCTTTAAAAATTCCATTTACAAGACAATTGTTTATAATAAAATTCTATTCAATCGGTATATCCATAACGATTGAAAACAATGTTTTTGTTTGAGTTTGGGTTTGACCAATTCGTAAAAAAAAAAAAATAATTAATGCATGCGTGTCGGTCAACCTTAAACAATAATAGTCAATTTTATTTTTCAGCCTTTATGATGGTCGATACTTGATCTATCTCTTACTGTTACATCCCCGGGCAACGCCGGGCTCTACTACTAGGCATGTATAAATGAGTGATAGCTGCTTAAATACAATATATATATATATATATATATATATATATATATATATATATATATATATATATATATATAAATATATAAAATGGTGCAGTTCAATTTATATTACATAAATCATTCACACAAAAAAGTAGATTAGTAAAATTAATGATATCAATGGCGAAAAACATCTTCGCAAAAAAAAATTATTAAAGTTACATTAACCTACGAACCACTCGATGAATGTTATGATCTTTGTTTTTAATACCTTTAAGTTGTATGAGGTCTTTTTTTATTCTGCTAGTACTTTCGGCTGTACATTCAATTACATAGATTTACTAATCTACTTTTTTTGTGTGAATAATTCATGTAATATATATATATATATATATATATATATATATATATATATATATATATATATATATATGGGCAGATTTTGTTCATAATACACTCTTGCTTTCGTCTGCATGCTGACTAGGATCAGATAGGATTTTCACTTAAGGACATCTTGCGCAGCATTCTAACGCGGAGATAAGTACTATTTTGCTGTTATGTTTGTATAGCTTCGTTCTTACCAATTACGTCTGACAACTCCTCGGTGTACGACTATAATATCACCTTTATTTTATTATTCTCTCTTATTTGTAATGTTATTGTCTGGAAAATAAAAAAAAAAACAAAAAAAAATCGTAAATCACTTTAAGAATGTTTCCCTTAAAATATGTTTCCTATTTTACATATGATGTATTCGTTGGAAACTTGCCAGGGACAAATCAAATTTCCTTTGTGTTTTCTTTTCGTTGCGATTACAGTGAAAGAGAAATAGATATCAGAAAAGAACATGTAGTGTTATTTATTTGATAATTTTAATAGATTTGTTTTTTGTTTTTTTTTCTTAATGGGTTATTTAATGTCAACAAAACTTTTATTGCTGGTATTTTTTCTTAGAAATATATATGCTAGTCTTATATTTTTTTTCGAAAATGTATAGCTGGTAATTTTCGAAAATTATCACGTGCAATATATTTTCGAAGAAAAAAAAATAGCAGCAATAAAAATGTTGTTTCTTTTTTGTTTTTTCGAAAATATGTTGCTGGTAAAAGTAATTACTGTGGAGTAATGGATACCGACTCGGTTTGAGGTATCGGTAGAGGCGATTTCGAATTCCAGTCAAATCCATTGCGTTCACTTACGTGATAATAACCTTGGTATAGGAATGAATGCGCCCCCCACACCGCCAAACAGATAGCCTTGGATGACAAATGGTCTACCGCAGAAACAAAATGGCAACCTACTGCGGGAAAAAATATCTGCCTCGTAATTCATGCATCGAAATATATGTGATCCTCTAAGTGTGCATCACGCATGGCATCTAATTGACTGATTGCTCGTAGTATCTTTTTAATTTCATTTTGAAATTATTTTCTAAATTTACTGGGAATAATTTTGATTAAAACCTATTTTACACTTTCCATGTTTTTTGACCCCAGTTTGGCTGCTAACTATTTGCCCATAGCTGGGACCCTACCATGTGCTACCATCCTCAGCTAGGGTGGACCTGGGTACACCAGCAATTAAGAACTGGTTCTACGCTCCTCAAAACCTATTGATTTGAGGTCTTGCAGCCAGATGTATTTTATCGTCTTACTTAAAACGCAATTTTAGTAGAATTAATAAGGAGAAAATTATAAGAAAGATACAAAAAAAAAAGAAGAAAGAACGAAAGAAAAATACAAAAGCGAGAAAAGTAAGCCGAGGCTATAAAATTAAAAGAAAGAAAGTGAATAAAATAGTATCAGGTGATCCCATAAGTTCTGTCCAAATTTTGAATAAAGAAAACAAGTGACCAAATGTTACATTTAATTACAGATTCAATCAACAATGTATTTCCCTGATTATCTATGACTTCCTTCCATCTATTAACAAGCTTACTAATTCCATTACTGTAAAATTCTTTTGGCTTTGATTCGAAGAACTCACAAATGTCAGTTTTAACCTCTTCCTGTGTTACAAAAGCTGTTTCTTCCAAATGATTCTGTAAGCTACGAAAGTAATGGTAGTCTGAAGGAGAAAGATCGGGAGAATAAGGTGGATGAGGAATTTTCTCCCAACCAAGTTCTTCGATCTTTTGTGACGTGATTCTTGCTGTGTGGGGTCGCGCATTGTCCTGATGAAACATCACCCCTTTTCGATTCACTAGAGCAGGTCTTTTTTCCTCAAAGCTTGGTTCAAACGCTCTAATTTCTGACAGTATATTTGAGCATTAATTGTTGCATCAGGTGGTAAGAATTCAAAGTGGATTATTCATTGGCGTAGCCACCAGATTGAAAGAACCTTTTACCCATGAAGTTCCCTTCTCGGCTGTGGCTGGGGTCTTTCCGCTTTACCAAGCCACTGTCTACGTCGCTTAACATTTCGATAAAAGATCCATTTTTCGTCGCCAGTCACAAGTCTATCCAAAAAAGGTTAAACAAGTTGGTGAGAATGGAGAGAAGAGCAGATGTCAACTCGGGATTTGAGGTTGTTTTCAGACAATTCATGAGGCACCCATTTTCCAAGTCTAGGAACTTTTCCAAGTTGTTGAAGATGACGATGAACAGTTGTATGGTTTGAACTGAGAACCACCGCCAATTCCTCAACTGATAAAGCAGGATTTTCTTCAAGGGCTGCTTCAAGAAGCTTTTCAGCAAATACAACTGGACGTCCGGTTCGATCTTCATCTTCAAGGGTGAAATCTCCACTTCTGGATTTTGCAAACCATCTTCTACAAGTTCTTTCATTCACACATTCCTCTCCATAAACTGAATGAATGTTTCTAGCCGCTTCGGCTGCTGAGTTTCCTTTCTTGAACTCATAAAGCATTATGTGCCTCAAATGACTCTTGGGAGCTTCCATGTTAGCAGGGTTTTAATCAAACAAAATTTAATTTTATTGTTCTCTGAAATAAAATTTGATCAGTTTAAATGCATCTAAACATAAAAATAATGTTTAGCTCCATTAGACATTATAAAATACTCTTTAAGTTTCGTTCATTTTAACAAAATGTTAAAATTCGGACAGAACTTTTGGATGACCTGATAAATGAAAATAAAAGCGAAAAAACAAATGCGATGGGTAAGAAATTAATAAAGAGAGAAAGAAAGAAATTAATAAAAAAAGAAAGAAAGAAAGAAAGAAATTAATAAAAAACGAAAGAAAGAAAGAAATTAATAAAGAAAGAAAGAAAGAAATTAATAAAGAAATAAAGAAATTAATAAAGAAAGAAAGAAAGAAATTAATAAAAAAGGAAAGAAAGAAAGAAATTAAGAAAGAAAGAAAGAAATTAATAAAAAAAGAACGACAGAAAGAAAGAAAGAAATTAATAAAAAAAGAAAGAAAGAAAGAAAGAAAGAAATTAATATAAAAAGAAAGAAAGAAAGAAAGAAATTAATAAAGAAAGAAAGAAAGAAATTAATAAAAAAAGAAACAAAGAAAGAAATTAAGAAAGAAAGAAAGAAAGAAATTAATAAAAAAAGAAAGAAAGAAAGAAATTAATAAAAAAAGAACGAAAGAAAGAAAGAAAGAAAGAAAGAAAGAAAGAAATTAATAAAAAAAGAAAGAAAGAAAGAAAGAAAGAAAGAAATTAATAAAAAAAGAAATAAATAAAGAAAGAAAGAAAGAAAGAAAGAAAGAAAGAAAGACAAATTGATTGATTGATTCGTTGTCTACGGTTTATCAACCTTTTGCACCCTTTGCAAATAGCTTAATGCCAGAAAATATTTTTAGATTGTTAGAATTTTTTTGAGATACTAATAGTTTTAGTTAAATATGTCTGTCTTAATTAACCCATTTAGAGTGTAGGATTTTTTTTTTTTTTGACCAGGTTTCTTATCTTCGCTGATCATACAGGAAGCGTGTTGTGGCCATAAGACAAGGAAGAAAGAAGTCAAAAAAGTAAGAAAGAAAGAAAAGAAAATATAAATATAGAAAAAGAAATGAGTCAGCTGAGAAAGCGAAGTGAAAGAGAAAATACGGAAACGAGAAAGAGAAAAAGAGAGATAAATAAGATTGTCGTGTCAATGAAGAAAAAAAAAAGAAATACATTTTTTTTGCAATAATAATGGTTTTAGTGATATAAAACTTACTAATTAACCCATAGCTGGTTGAGAAGAGGTGGATATTCTTAAGTGAATAACTGAAGACAACGTACCTCACGGGAATTGGTTCTCTGCTCACTGATGAAAAATTCTAAGCTATTATATTTTACACCATCCGGTAATCCAAGCGTACATCACCTGGTATTCCCAAGCGGTAACCCAATTATGTACTGACCAGGATCAACGTTGCTTAAATTTGCTGATATTGTGGGTAAATGCTTTTTCGGTGTGATGTGGCTCTAGGCTAGTAAAGAAAGAAAACAGATAAAAAGAAAGACATAGAAAGAAAAGGAGAATAGAAAGATAAAAAGAACAGAAAGAAAGAAAGAAAGAAACAAAGAAAGAAACAAAGAAAGAAAGAAAGAAAGAAAGAAAGAAAGAAAGAAAATACAAAGACAAATGAAAAACGATATCTGTGGAAGAAATAAATAAATAAGTTACTTGCATTATTTACATAACTCGGACTGTTATCCCATCTTCATTGACATATTTGCAACGTTTCACAATGTTAGATCCAGTGATTATACCAAAAGAGTTTTTGAGTTCAATAACAGACTACAGCAGTGGTGAAGCAAAACTTGGAGAGGGAAATAACAGAAACATCCGGAAGAGGTATGGCACGTGAATCTTGAACAATTTATTGCGGTGGACAAAATAAAGGGTCCGGTTCGAAATTCGAATCACCTGTAGAAAGCCGAAGCGTACAACGGCCGAAACGTTGAGAATATGCCAGTGAGAATTAGGATAACAGTCCGAATAATGTAAATAATGCAAGTAAACATAATACCTCATCTCAGAGATATAGAGGCCGAAACGTTGTATAGGTTGTTGATTATTTTAATATCCTTCCAAATATGTCAAGGTTGCTGAGCAGTTCTAACAATTTTTTTCCTGGTGAGTGGTTGTATTCTCAATGAGGTTACTTACCTAGAACGTTTATTTTGACTAAGACTCACTCGGGACATTATGGAACTCGTTATATACGTCACGATCATGTGACCCGCCTGGGGCGTAGAGGCACCACATGTACTGCAAAATAGTCCCCAGGACCCTAGAGTAGAAGTTGTGTTTCTTGGAGCCCAACTCACGCCGGGCCGGTTTGAAGTTTTCCTTATCCTAGACCGGCTGCCTGTCAGAACCCAGTCTCTTCTGATATTTACTCATAGCTGTGGGGGGGGGGAGAAGATTCATACTTTTCCCAGGGGTAAGTGAATAATAACGTAAGTGAATAATAATTGATCTGACTGGAATTCGAACTCGGCTCTCCGCTTCCTCAGTCCGAGCCATTATCCATTATTCCATAACTCTCTCTCTCTCTCTCGCATCTTTCGAACGGGTGTCATGAACTTTACACGCTGAAGCTAAATGAGCTGTGGACGATACACCCATAAAACACATCAAACGCAGTAAGTTCCACTATAAAATATTCATGAATATTTCGTTGTGCATACAATTTACGTCTAACAAACGAAACTCTCGTTTCAAACTTTCTTTTTGTTAATTTGTCTAATAAATGTTATTCTCATATTTTGTTCATGTACTCTTTTTCAACACCATTATTTCATGCACTACAAAAAGTTAACGTAAGAAACCTCACACATTTAATTATCGAAGTAGCTAATCTCTAAATGATAAAAAAAAACAGAAAAAAAAGTATTAGAAAAATAGGAATGAAAAAAGAAAGAAGAAAAGAAATAAAGTGGTAAGTAAAATGAAGAAAGAAAGAAAGAAAGAAAGAAAGAAAGAAAGAAAGAAGCAAACCAACACCAACTTACTTAAAAAATATCTCAAAACCCTCCTTCAGATTTTCTTCTTTTCTTTGAATTTAAGTATTCCTTTCGGTATTCATTAGTATTTGCTACATTTCCTTTTCCTGTCTCTGATATCCTGTCTTCTGGTTGGGTCCCACTCATTACATTATTGTATTTTAATCATCTCCTTGATAGTTTTAATCTTCCTCGCCTCTCTGATCCGTATTGATCTAATTCCAACTTTTCTTCGCCTTACTCATTGCATTGTTCTTAGTGTGGTTCATTGTTTGAAAGCAATATTGTCAGTTGCCTTGTTCCCTGTCATTACTATACATACGTACGAGAGTTGTCGTCACGTTTACCAAGTAAATGACCTGTTTATAATAAACAGTATTAACAAATTTTATCGGCCTGATTGTCCGAGAAATTGTCATAGGAACTACGCGTCTTCCGACAGGAATCGAACCCGTATCCTATACGGAACGGTCATATAATCTAATGTACTTTTACCGATTGAGCCACAGAGGAATGTTTCACTCAGAAGGTCGATTTTACTATTTTTAAACTACAATTCTCCAGGATTTTCTCACGTACATTCATATATGCTCGATGCATATCCAAATGTAAAAATCGACGTCACACATTAGGAAATGGACTAAGATATTTTCATGTTTGTTGCGTTCTTTTTTATGGATACAAATATTCAAATAAATGCTCTATTTATAATAAACAGTATTAATAACATACTATTTATTATTAACCGAGCATTTACTTAAATACTTGTATCTATAAAAAAGAATGTTTTAACATAAAAGTGTCTTAAATTATATATATATATATATATATATATATATATATATATATATATATATATATATGTATGTGTGTGTGTGTGTGTATGTATGTATGTATGGATGGATGGATGTGTGTGTGCATACACGCATATACATGCATATGTATGTCTATGTGTGGGTGTGAGTGTACGTATAGATATATGTGTATATATATATATATATATATATATATATATATATATATATATATATATATATATGTGGGCGTGTGCATGTGTGCATGTGTATGCGTGTATATGTATGGAAACGTGTGTATATGTATATAGATGACTATGTGTATGTGTGGATATGTGAATATATTTTTATATTTTTATATGTGTGTACATGGGCATATGTTTGTGTGTATGTGGGTACACGCCTATGTGTATGTATATACATGTATATGTTATTGTGTATATTCGCATGTGTTTTTGAACATAGAAATATAGGTCCTTGCTGGATTAGATAATCGTTATATTTATCTTTATATATTTATATTTGATTTGTAACCTGTAGTCGATATTAAATTTGTCAAATTTTCTCAATTACAAAGCGGCCCTTTAAGTAAATGCAATTTTACATTCCTTCGCCCCATCTCTCTCCCCCACCTCGTCTTTCCCTCCCTCTTATTCTAACATTAGATTGTCTATGGTGTGTGTATGTCACCACGAAATGTATTTTTATGCATTAGACATCCGTCAACATTCATTTTTTCTCTTAATTAAACCCCTTCCACCCACCTCTCCTAAAATTCTGTCTGTTAAGGTTTAATCTCCCTCCTCCTCATACTTACACTCTCTCTAAATTCTGTTTTTATTTCCGGAGTTGTTTTTTCTGTTTTCTTTTTGAATTTGTAGGTCTGATGAATTGGATCGTATTTACGATTCCAATGGAATAAATTATGACCATGGAATATTAGTGTTTAAGCCTTTTTATTATATATATATATATATATATATATATATATATGGTTATTTTATTAAAATTAAAGAACGAAGTATGTCTATTTTTTTATTTTTATTTTATATTATTTTGTTTTATATTATTTTTCCTAGTTTTAAATTAATTCTTTTACTTCAGGATAACATTTTTGGTTAAATTGTCAAATTTTACCGTTTTGTTCTTAATTCTCTTCTGGTGCTGTGATGTACACGGGAAAATTATGAACATCATCGTCATTATCTGAAAATAAATACAGTTCGTATCTTAAATGTCTATATGTATATGTCAATCGGGAGTTGGAAATTTACAATAAAAAAAAAACTTTAACACACACTTGTTGCCGGTTGAATTTAATAAAATGTCTTTAAATTAATTATTTATGCCTCGAGGCTGTCTTATTTTATTTAGAGAAGCCTGTCATCATAGCTTCCAGCCATATAAAATTAAAAACCGTCGATTGTGAATGCTGCTTTTCATGGCATGAATGTAGCGCCGTGCCTATCTTTATACCCCGTGTTTGTGAACATCTTGCCCCAAGGTTGAACTAATCATATTTCCATAAATATCCAAGCTATCTTTGTGTGATTTCATCATTTTATTTTTCGAAAAGATGGCTTGATGTAAAATTCCCTTTTATCTCTCAAATTGTGAATTACACGCATGCGTTTTCGCGCTCAAACAAAGTCATTTAAAATGTCTGCAAATCGTTTTATACCAGATAGAGATGCGTTTGCCATTTTGAATATTTTTCTTCCTTATTTCTTGACAAAGGAAAAGGAAAGAAATGAAACAAATCCCGCTCAAAGAATTCTGAGACGAACGCTGAAAGGTCAAGGCAAAAACAATTTCGATATTTAACAAGAAGGAAAATGATGCGCATTATTTGAATCATGTTACGAGGCCGAAATCTCCGTGAAATTGAATGGTTAGAAAACCTTTGATAGTTGAAGAGTGTTCGCCTCTTCGGCCGATTCGAGTCTTACATTTTAATTAATATAACGCGTGTAACAGCAAAATTGTCCAAATCGTGTAACTGTATAATTAACCACTCCCAAAAAGGTTAATTACCTAAAGAACCACTAAATTAATTGAGTTTCAATTTTCCAGGTTTTCAGATAAGGCATTTAGATTCATTTCATTTCATCTGTCGTAAGAATCGCTGAAATACTCTTCGAGATAATCACCTAAAAAAGAACAGGTTCAAATCGTTTTGTGTCAGAACCACTGTCTTCCCAACTGAGGAGTAAAAAGATCATCTACACCTTCATTAATAGTACCAATATTCGTACTACGGCTTCTATATTCAAAGTCCATATAAGAACCATCGAGAGGACGGAGGATACGCTTAAAAAAGAGGGAACAGTAGAGAGGAAAACTGGATCAGGAGGTTACAGCAGCAAGAGGGATGATCATTTCAACTTAGAGCTAAAGAGATCAATCTGAAAGGATCCAATCCAATTCAATTCATGAGACGTTTTCCACGCGAGAGAGGAGTTTTAGCAATGACAGTCCAAAGAGTAGTGAAAAAGATTTGAAAAACAAATCGTACATGAAACGTGTTAGGCCTCTTCTTACTCCAGGACATAAAGTTAGAAAGTTATAGAGGGCGAAAGTCATCTTCAAAAGGTTGGTAATGATCCTGGAATAATATATATATATATATATATATATATATATATATATATATATATATATATATATATATATGAACGTTATTTCAATACTTCATGAGATTCCATACTTAGCTATGATTAATTAATTATGAACATATCATTTTCGTAGAGTCCAGTAATATTATAAAAATATCGTAGAATTGCAGTAAGATATCTTTAATCCTTTCTAAACCTCAACGGTTCAGAGCTTAACCTAACAATTGGACAATTTTGCTGTTATACCCGGTACATTTATGACTCATATCCAGGTAAACTTATGCAAATCGGCTGCAGTCCGTTTACTGCAACTAATATTCGATGATAACCATTTATTTCCATAGAAAATACTTGCTTTTTCCATCATAATATATTTCGAGAGTGTACGTCGCTGATGGTTAATGACTAGCAAAACATTTTTGAATATTATTACTGTTGGGTAATGTTGTAACCAAGTAAAAGGTTAATGAAATAACAAAGCAAGTAATATATTATACAGTAAGCAAACAAAAGAGTATTACATGACTAGTGTGTGTGTGCCGGTTGACCCAGCGTTCAATCTACTCGACTGTAATATTTAACAGCCCCACCACGAGGAATGTATGCGGCACAAGGCCGAGTTTACCGTGGGTTCCCCGAGCCCGTAGGCTCGGCCAAAAATAATCCCTTAGAAACTGCATGAATGGGTTCAGGACATGTCTACCTCTCCGGACAAAAATTTGTCCTTGGCAAAGCCTCGTCAGGGCTGCTCTCTGCACAAAGGCAGAGAGTTCGAAAGTTGAACAGTTTGGAGAACCGTTATATTTGACCCCCCAACATCGGCAAAGCTTCGTCCGAGTTCCTATCCGCCGAGGCGGAGAGTTTGACAGTCATGAACGGTTTGGCACCGTTCCCCAAGGCCTTCTCTCTTACTAATCTTATAGTAGGCGGAAGAATCCAACATAAATTTTTTAGAGGGAGGACACCACAACAGATATTGAGTTTGATCCTCTCTATTCTTTTAGATTTTGTCTTGCAGAAAATTGATACGGTGAACTGTGTTTGATTCTTCCTGTATTCATAGATATTCACACTTTTTTAAAAATCATTTCACCCCAAACAAGGAAATAAAGCCATTAAGGCACACCAGCTTATTGACAGTGAAAGAATATGAAAGCAATCCTTATTAAGAAGAGGAGACAATAATGAAACAAAAGATGATCATTGTATTTAAATTATTGAAGATCAAATTTTACTGGATAGTAAAAACCCGAAAGAAAGTTCCACAAGTGGGAAGTGCGAAAGAGGAAACTTTTAGCAATGAACTGGCTGTAGTATCTAGCAATTTCAACTGTAACATTATAGTAAATCCGTGAAATTCGTAAAGCCGGGGTACTAAAGAGGAAAGCTCATCTGAAAAATGATCGTGAAAATATTTATAGATAAGGCACAGGGAAGATACACAGAGGTGATGAGAAAGTTACTGAAGTCAAGATGCCAGGTCAGGAATGATAACATAGCAGGTTTTTCTTTGGATTTTGTTAAGATTCTGTAGATATATAGCAAAATCAACAGTGCAGATCTGACTACAATATTCAATGAATGGTAGAATTATAAATCTGTAAAATTTATTCTGGGGGAAAAAAAATTCTAGAACCACAAAATAAAACAACATTCCGAGCAGAAGACCTCGCTGATTCAATATAATTGTTCCATTTTATGCCAGTGAAAACGTTAAATCGAGACGCAATGTGTCCCACACCTGGAAGTTAGAAGCATATTTTAGTTTGGTTCACTGCTATGAGTTACAATGATGGATGTCATGATAATCGTCTGTATTTTATCAATGTCAATAATGAAAGAAATAACAGTATTTTGTTCGCGGGATAAGGAAATTATGGGCTGCGAACGGTCGGTTTGTGAAAATAATAGAGAAAGGAACATTTCTAAAAACGCAACATAGATGAATTAGTAATTCATGTAAAAGTTGTGACTGCTCAGACAAAGATATTGCTTGTGTTTGAAAGGATAAGAAATATTTTATATTTGAGGAGACATTGTCATTCACTATCAAACAGTAACTACCAGACATCTGGTGTCAGCATGTTAGTAAAATGCAGTAATATTTCTTACGTTCCTTTTTCTTATTAATTTGCAAAAAATTCCATGTCGAACCCATTGACCGAATTACAATTTTCTACTTGGAATATTCTCTCTCGCTCTTCATTCTCAAATATGACAGCTACAAATGTATTATCAGTGAGGGCTATTAATGTCCTCGCATTCATAGAGACAGTCGCTGCTGGCTGGTACGCAATTATTGAAGCCCAGTTAAGCTTGCGAAATGTAACTAACACGGAGACGACGTTCTACCGCGCGCTTTTGTCACTGCCTACAGAAACGATCGCAAAATTGCAGGCTTCTTTCTTAGCAGCAAAAATATATGACGAATTCAAAAAACGAAAAAAAAAATGGCCGCCATTTCCACCTATGAAATGAGAAAATATGAGCTTTCCGTTAAGCTAATTAGTGAGACATGAATGTCAGTGAGAATCTCGCCTTATTTGAGAGTTAATGACGAGAACAAATAAAGTGCGGACAAGAGGAAATAAGACACTGCTTCATACACGTGTTGCCACCCACTAAAAACCCAGTCATTGCTGCGATTAAGAACATCACGTTAACTGAACACTGTATCTTGGCCGGTGAATAAGATTCTCTTATGATTTGAAATACAATCCAGGCCACCACGACTCTTCATGAAGCGTCTCGGAGTCAAACACGATTTTAAGAGCCCTAAAAATGTACGTCTCTACAGGAATTCGTTCATTCTACGAGAACTAGTGAGAAAGTGGTAATGTTTATTTTGAATAAAAATGTAAAACGGAAAATCCATGTCATACACCGGTCGGATAGTATCATATGGAGTATTCTCCCCAGCTCTAGGTCAGCGTCACCAGCGACATACCCATGGGGATTTTCAGTGACAGGATAACTTGCCGCAAACCAGCATTAACATCACATACATTTTGTTTTGTGCAGATTTAGTATCGGTGCAACGCTGCATGCGCAATTAGATAATAAACATTTCTTGGTTGATCTTCTGCAAGACAACTTCAGAAATTATGAGGGATATATTGTAATTTTGAAACTGCTTTCACTAGCTGAACTGTTCGTAAAGAAATGGAGAATTCGGCAGGGAATAAGACTTTGAAAGTTTCCTGAATCCACGGTATTTTTCGACATCAAATAATATTTATTCTTTATTATTTTAGAAGTTTGGCATATTCATAATATAAATATAATGTCAAATCGACCCAGGACTTTTTAAAGAGTTGTCTGAACTTAAATCTGTACATGTCATTGATTACTGCGTAATATTACGAATTGTGAAAAAAGTAATACGCGGTGAACAATGGCGTAATCAATGCGTTTCGAAATTGACATTTGACAATGAGATCAAAGTACAGACAATATCTTAAAGAAATCAGGGGACAATTTTACATTGTACAGGGTTAGTTAAGATTATGTTAACACTTAAATCGTAAAACTTATCTATTCACAAAATTTACATGACATGTGCAAGATGATTTACAAAACGATCTCAACCTGTTCGCTGTCATGTTAAACACACAAAACCCGGCCAGCAACCGTAGCATTTTAACCCCGGACACTCACTCCACGGGAAATAGATGATACCACACTCCGCATCCTGTCCTTGGGGCCACTGATATCACGAATTCGCTTGGTATAAACGTTCTCCTTAGCCATAACACATAACCAGAAATCCCAGGGCGTCAATTCAAGGAACGGTGTAGGCCAGAGCAATGACCCAACACGACCTGACTATCGACCTAATTAATGTTTAACATTATAATAATAACAATACTAATGTTAACATAATTTTAACTCACCCTATATTTATATGATGAGCAGGAACCTCATTCTCAAATGATAAAATTAATATTTTTCGATTCGGACAAATTTCCAGGTTAAAGGTCTGGTGAATTCTAATCTGCAAGAAATATTCCCACATTAATTTTCGATGTCTTTTTTGTTTTTTGAGCAGATCAGTTAACTTCAGTAGCGCAGTATTTTTACCGTCATTTGTCCGCAGTCTATTAATTCGTATTACATTTTATACTTGAAAGTTGACACATTACCTTATTTAATGATCACAAATAAATTAGATAGGCTTTTCGCAAGATATCATTGATAAAATCTTATAAGAAGCAAAGACACTTTTCTTTCATAGCTGAATAGAACCGCAATATTCGCTACATTCGTGGAGAGGACATCATTGTTGCTGAAAGCATCTAAAGGCTAGCATAGGCAACAATTGTCCATCTATCCGATTTACCAACCATTAGCGAATTATGAACTGAAAACGACAGTACATCTATTTACACATCCTGAAAGGGTTTCAATAAAGGACAGAAACTTTGACACTGATATCCGAACAGTAGGATATTGAAAGTGTTAAGAAACTAGAAAATATATACAGTGCTGTTCGATAAAAGTGACTCACCTGATTGTTTTTTTCGCCTATTGTTTTTGGGGTCAAACTAATTTTTAATCTTACTAATATAAAAACACCTTCCCGAACACCTAGTAAAAAAGTTTACTCACCCTAAAGTATTCTATTGATAATTATAATTTTGGATATAAATGAGATTGAGGGAAAAACTTTGTGCAAAAAAGTGACTCACTTATTTCCTGCAACTAGTAATCAATAGAAACATAACCGAACAGCTTTAAATAAAAAATAATATAGGTATAATTTATTTATAATAGGTAATATAGTTCGAAATATTTAATAATCTATGGGTCCTCCTTTATTTTGAATAACCTTTTCAACCCTTTTTGTCATTGACTTGAGTAGGTTCTGAAAAATCTCATCTCCAAGCATTGAATTCCATTCGGATATGAAATTCACAATCAAATCCTCTTTGTTGCTCAGCTGCTTTCTCGAGAGCCTGTAGTTTATAATGCTTCATAAGTTTTCTATAGGGTTGAGGTCAGGAGATTGGGGCGGCCATGACATAAAACTCACCTGCTTCTCATCAAAGTATTCTTTCATCAATTTTGATTTGTGACAGGGAGCACTATCATGCATAAAAATGAGCTTGGTGGGGTCGATTTACATCCTTTCAGCAGAAGGGTGCAGACAAGACTCTAAAATTCTCTTGTACTGCTCGCTCCTGAGGGTCTTTTCAATAGGTTTTAAGAAACCAGTTCCATGAAAAGCATCCCCAGAACATTATGCTGAACGGATGCTTGACAGTATTTACTGTTAAATTCAAAGAGCTTTCAAAGCTTCTTCTTCGGATTTTAGATCGTTTGGCCTTTGAATTTAGCTCAACTTTCGTTTCATCGAAGAAGAGAAAATTTAGTAAAAAAAAATCAGGTGAGTCACTTTTATCGAAGAGCATTCTATAAGACAGAGGTTGCCTGTGTGTCTCTCTGCTTCTCTCTGTGATACCTTTTCACACGAGATTCATACAACCGATTTTGACCAAACTTGGCATATACATTGTACAATATAAGAGATAGGATCTTAGCTGAAAAAACTCGATGATATTTTAACAATCAATAATCGATAAAGCCGAGCGAAAATCGATAAATTCAACTTTTTTCCTCCAATTTCATTCAAATCCAATATGTGGGTTACTTATATCATGAGGATCTCAGCGATAGCTCATTTTATTTCTATGCCACTGTGTTTAGCGAAAAAACGCGGAAAACGAAAAACACTCATTTTAAACTAAAAATTCCTTCACTTTTCAAGCAATCTAATACAAACTTCACTCAATTGTAGCCAACAATAAACTGATTGTTTGACAGACATTTAACTTGATAAGTGAGTTCACCCATATAATGAAAACCTGCGTAAATAGCGAAAAATGGCGACTTTTACTGTTTTCTTTCTAATTTTTCGTTGAACTTTCAAGCAATTTTCATCAAACTTAACAATTGTTTTATTTATAAATGTATCCTCTTTTACATCCCCGGTAGCAACACTGACCAATTGAATTTCAAAAACTCCAAAATAATTTTGGTCAGAAGTGGGTCTTCATGTTGTCTGGTTTAACCCGTCATATTCTCACGTAACTTCGATTACATGGACACAGACTACTTCTGTTATATCAGTAACTGCATCAATTGAAAACATTTTTAATGAAAGCACTTTAAAGTAATTGAAGATTCTGTTACATCTAAACGATGCTGTTTTTGCTCCATTCTAATTGAACGCTTTTTTTTTGATCGACCAGCTGGGTATGGCTGTTAAATCTAAACGTTTGTTGCTGTGTAATACTATATATGCAGTCAATGCTGGAGAATTCCCTCGCAGATGAGAAGAGATTTGAGGTAACAAATTTCTGTAAAGCAATGCCGAGAATAACATAAGCGGATAATGTGAGCAACGAGTAGGTTTTAAGAAAAAATCGAAACAAAAAAAAGATTTTTGTATATTGAACAAGAAACAGATAGTTGAAATTACATGGACACATAAGGAAGAAAGGAATCTTGTAAAATTTTTACATTAGGACAGGTCGATTTTGGAAACGTGGTCTTGCACTCAATTTCATGAATAACGGCACATTTTTTTTTGGCAAATCGTTCCCGTTTTCTGAGTAAACGAGTGTAAACATTAAGTTTAGGCAAAAAATCGTAGCGTTGCAATTTCAGTATCTGTCTATATTTCTGAGAGGGGAATTAGCAGGAGATAACTGATAACTGACACCCATTAAAACATGCCACGAGATACTAAACCCAGTGAGTGAAATAAAGTGTTCAGTTCGGCATTCCAAGTACCTGAAGAAGGCCGGAGAGTACAACGGCTGAAACATTGTAATAAATATGGCGACAAAGATGAGGTCAATAGTCGGAATAATGTAAATAGCGTTGCAATTTCATTCTGGTGATCAGCAAAAGACTTATAGCACAGCCTTATAAAATATATAATTTACTGGAGCTTTACAACTTGTATATAGACAATATCTGTGGCCTAAGCACATTATTATTAAATCATTGTGACATCGGCTAAAACCTTCATTGACTTCAAAGGAAAATTAGACTGGACAATTTAGCTATATTATGATGTAATATGTTATAGAGTACATTAGTCTTAGTGTGATTTTCAATAAACAATGCGCATTTAAACCATCGTGCCAAGCAGTGTTATGGTGTTGTATACAAAATTATCTATTTTTTTACATTTATTATTTAAGATATCACAAATGATCGAACAAAACTTATTTATTGAGTAGGATTTTTTGTATACTTTTACATTTTTAACACAGTTTTTATTTATCGAATACAGTAAAAATCTGCATGATTTGCTTGTGGTGACTCAAGATTACAATTCCGGTATGAATATATTCAATGTGTGTAACACAAAATATATCAACTTTATTAGGATTTATTCTCGAAATTGTAAAATGTTGAAGTTAGTTTGTAAGCTAAAAATACTTTACTCAAAATCAATTTTTTCTGTATTGGTTTTTACAACAACAAAAAAAATGGAAGAAAGAAACATAATTATTGCCGTAAAACTGTCTGCGTAACGAAGTTTAAATAATGATTTTTTTTTCTGCAAAAAAAATTATCCTCTTAGTCAGTTGGTATCTGATCGAAACCCGTTAAGAGAGAAAGTTTTTTTTTTTTTTTCTCTCGAACTTCTGTGCAATTCCTTTGTTCCCGATTCCCGATTCGCAGTTTTTCTGTGCTTCGCATCGGGAAATTTAGTTCTGTCTGTTAAGGCGGCCCCAGAGACCAAAGCATGAATTTGCTGCCAGCAGAATATGGTCAACAACTTGAAACTGACATTCAAGGAAATTTGGCCCCAGGACTTGTAACTCTTTAGAAATGGCTGGGTTCATATATATATATATATATATATATATATATATATATATATATATATATATATGTGTGTGTGTGTGTGTGTGTGTGTGCATATATATGTCTATCTGTGTACATATGCTGGTGTGTGTTCAAAATCAAGGAATAAAGAAGTATCAAATTTCATACACATATAAGGATCTGTTAAACACACGCACATATTCACACATGCACATACATATGTATGTGAGTGTTTTAGAATAAACCAGGATAACGCAAACGCACAAAAAAGTGTATATACTATTTATATGCGTTTATATTTACGCACGTACACACACACGCATATATATATATATATATATATATATATATATATATATATATATATATATATATATATATATATTTTATATAATATTTTCACTATAAGCAAGCTGGTAAATGCAAGTAAAACAGCGATCACTGAGAGTCAAATTAAATGGACACTAAAAGACAAGTTTCAAAAGCAAGAATATGGCTATTGACGTTACATAAAAAGCTTTGAAGATTATACTTAAATTCATTTTTTTTAAATATTTAAGGCTTGTATATAATACAATCCATATAGCAAAAGGACTGTTTTCCCTATTATTTTAACTACTTTCGCTCCAATATTTATCGTCAGAAAATGCGATGATTAGAATTTTAAAGTGTATTCATACATTTTCTTTGTACCTGAGAATTTACAAAGAAAATATTAAATACTGTTTTTTCAGTGTTTATTTACAAAAATCAATTTATATTTAAAACACACAAATATACTTGAATCAATAGAATTCAATGTTTATCATTTACCAGTTTATAAAAATAAATATTTAAACAATTTTTTATTTATATATAAATATTTATATATATATATAATATTTTTTTAAAGAAAAACGCTAATT